TATCTTTGTGCCTGAACACACTGCCTCCAATCACCAAATCGTTGAATGCATAGAATTCTGCAAACAATTCTCCATTCTCATTCATTTCACCTAGCGCCTTTCGACCCATGGTTAGTTCTCTTCCTGTGTTGTCCCCTCCCAGTTTGGCATTCATGTCGCCCATCAGAATTTTGATATCGCCAACTGACGTCTTGTCCAGTGTTGATTGAAGTTGTCTGTAGAATTCCTCCTTTTTCTCTTGCTCTGCATTATTTGTAGGTGCATAACATTGTATGATTGTGACCTTTCTTCCTTTTGAGTTGAATCTTGCTGTCATGATCCTGGAGGAGATTGGTTCCCACTGCATGAGAGCCTTCGATGTTCTTGGAAGGGGGACATCATGATAGCCACTCCATAACTCAGTGTGCTCGTGGTTGTCGTCTGGGTGACGGGAGTAGGTTATTGATTCTCCAGTTGACAGTTTGGAGAGTCCACTCCCATTCCATCTGCTTTCGCAAATCCCAAGCACTTCGATGTTATACCTTCTCATCTCCTTTGCAATCTGGGCTGCCTTAATGGGTTCAAACATGGTGCGGACATTCCATGTCCCCACGTTTACTTTCGCTTTCATCGAGAGTTGAGGAGACACATCGGCCATTTGGCTTCCCGAAGGCTTCCACCAACTGGCGTCATTTCGCCTCTCCGATTCCAGCGGGGAATAAGTTTGTTATTGTTTTTTATATTTTGTTTGTGCTTTGAAGTTTCTTTAGCGGTTAGATTTGTTTTACGGGGTAGGATTGCTAGCCCTATGCCCAACCTTCCCTGTTTACCCGGGCTTAGGACCGGCTAGTAACTAGTAAACTAGTTAACCAGGCGAGGTTGGTCTTTAGTCATGGTATCAAAAATCTCTAACCTCTGACTTCTATTATCTTATTAGCTTGAAAAAAGTAATCTACATTTTATTACATGGCACATATCAATCTTCAAGGAGTTAATGGGCACGTACTATAAATTAGCTTGAATACATTTATCCTTCTTTCAGACTAATTCTACTCTGACAGGCAGTAGACTATAAATTAATTATGGAAAAAATCAGATTAGAGTGTTTAATGACCTAAATACAATAAAAGTGATAAAATACCCTGAAACAGTTAAGTTTTATTATTAAATAAACTTACGTGTTAACGTATATCATCAGCTAATTAATACTGTTCTTATACTAGAAACCAGCCGTCTTACTATCTGATTCACACTAGTTTAAATTTGAAACAGTTGGTCTCTTTTATGAATTTCGATAGCCTAACTAGGTGAAGACGTTTATCTGAACAATGTGTGATGTTGAATTTTGAGGGAGTTTTTAGGATTTGAGACGTGCTGGCCACGGGTTCGATCCCTGGTGGGCTCGTGGGTGCACACTGTTAAGAAGTCCCATACTAGGATGAAACAGCTGTCCAGTGCTCCCAGGTTTCCTGTGTTCCTCCAACTGATGTCGGTCTAAGATGAATAACAACTTGAAATGTGTGGTGTATTTGTGCAATACATTTGGAACAGTCTAATCCCCTTCATACTCACTTGTCAAGTCAATATACATTAAATTGAAGATTGGGAGAACAAATATAATAATTAACATAATAGGGGATTAAAAGTAAAAAAGAATGAGAAGAAGCAGGTAGGGATCTAGTTGATATTAATTTTGGTAAGAAACCAAAGTTTACCAATGTAGGTTCTGTGTGTAAGAACAAATTTTTTTCACACATAAAGGTGGTTTCAATTTGTATATGACTATGGCTTCTGCAAATCTCAGAATAAGTCCCTGACTGACTGTTTCTATATAAAATTTTGAAAGCTGTTTTAACATTAACTTTGTAACCTGTTTCTACGATGTGTTTAGCTGTAGATGAAGAGGGTCGTCTCCCACCAGCGTTTATCACGGTTTCACACTCCATCTATTTTTGAAGACATTTAGGTACATGTTTCCTCACCTTAAACATCATGGCTCAAATACTCCTCCCAATGCATGTGTGACCACACATACGTGTAAATTGGTAAACACAATGGAATGTGACGTAATCATTGATGCATTGCTTAAATTTTTGGTGAAGCATATTGTTTTTTCTTCAACGATAAGATTAGCTGCTTAATATGTTTTCCTAATGACTGATGTCAGCCTACATCTCAAAATGATACAGTTCAACTCTGCTCTACATGGTAGAGTGATATGGACGCTTTTCTTAGAAACTATAAATAAAGTTGGCTTCGGTGCTACTTGATCTCTATGATGGGTTTATGAACTTCAACGGATATCCATTTTTGATAAGTACTTTGGTCGGTAATTTGATATCTTCTTCCATCATATCTGATGTACTGATATGATAGATCCAATTAAACAGGCATTCTACTAGATGTTGCTTGTATAGGAGTGAATAAAAAGTAAAAATTCAGGTATTGTTCCATCCATGTAGGCTTTTTGTAAACTGACAATCCTCTGGTAGACTCAGGAGTTTATCCAGGAACGACAGATCATTATTATTCTCCTTCTCATAAGTCAGGTTGATGTGAGTTTGTACGGTATGAAGTCTTTTTAGTAAACAAGCCATATCCTTATGCCTCTCACAACTCACCACGATGTCGTCAGCAAAGAAAAATAAAGAAACTTTGGCGATGAGATCACTAGCCAGATTTTCGATATATGACACACGAACATCAGCTAGTAATTGTCCTAAGAGACTACCCACAGCGTTTACTTTCAAATGTGAAGCGAACTTTGTCGGTACACAGGAATAATAGCTTCCTCAGAAAGGTTGGAGTAATAGGAAATGGGAAGTTTCTTGAAGATATGTCGTCACAGAGAATGCTAATAGTCTTGGACAACGGTACATTGGTCAATAAAGAATTTATATCGAAAGAGTATATAATCTTGTTTTTGATATTCATGTTGCTAAGACAGTCAACAATTTAGAAAAAATCTTTCGTTTCGAACTGGATCTAACACTTTTTTTCCAACCATTTATGTGTGGGTGAACGACGCATATATAATATAGGGTGTAAAAGAATCTCAGCTTTATTAATCTTAGGTAATTCATATAAATTTGAAAATTTGGATCTCATAGGTTTCAATGAATTATATTCCTCTTTGCTAATAGCATTTATATTCAAAACCCTTACTAAAGGAGCGGTTGCTTTTACTTCCAACTTTTAAATATATTCTGATGGGACATTGGCTATGAATTTGCTTTCAACACTGAAGATGGATAAAATTTTATTTTTATAGTTAGATTTATACATCACAAAAATACCTGGTCCCTTATCGGATTCCAGAATGATTATATCTGATCTGTTCCATAATTTTTTCAATGATTCGAAGTATTGTGAACTCAAACTGCTTCTTTTTCTTGTTTCTAAACTATGGAACTGATGAGTAATATCAACTAATTTAGCCTTTAACCAACTTGGACTATATGAAGATGTAGGAACAGGAAGACTCAACTGGTCATAGGGATTTTCAAACTTAGCATAAATATCCAGTTGAAAGATTTATGTATATGGAACTGAAAAGTTGGATCCAAGGGAAATAGACCAACAATCCATTTTTTTTTCTTAACAGATTGTTTCTTTACAACAAAGTACTGAACCATATTGCAAATTATCAGCTTTTTATTCACCAATTTCCTCATAAAGTACATATTATACAACCACAGACTACGTATTGCGAGTCAAGGAAGTCACATACAGACATACACACAACTTAAAGTTTTATTAACGTTAAGCACAAGTGAAATATGTTCCAAAACACTATGCACTTGAATCTTCACTGAACATCTTTGCCGAAATTGATGTAAGGCATTTTCAAATGGAAGAAGTATTTTCAAAATATTTTCATATAAAGGCGTATATAGCATATCCTCAACAGAAATTTTCAACTGATCTTATAATTGTCCTCTAAACATTTAAATGAAGAAATTGAGAAGAAAGATGAACTTTAGAAAGAAACCAAGATTAGACTTATATGCTCTATGAATTTTTTTTAAATGAACCATTATAAATATACCCTTTAACCCAAAGTATTTTAAAGGTAATAATCAACACAAAAAATACCTGGTTACAGAATAAATTGAATTGGATAGAATAAAACAACATGGTGAAGTGAAAACAAACAAACAAACACTGTAAGTCTATATGTTGTAATAAGTGGTGGATAATGAAAAGATTATAGGTATGCAAACAAAAAAAAAACAAATTTCATACAAATATACAAAGATAATTATTCATATGTGCAATTCTAAACCACAGTACAGATAATATAGAAATTGGTTAACAACCAGTCAAAATATGAGAAAAGGGAATATATAAATAAGTTTATTACACTAGGCGTATACATATATCTTGATCAAGATAAGGAGAATATTTTCAAAAAGAACTGGTTCAATATTCAATTATATTGGAACATTGAACTGTTAATTTTACACCCCTTACATAACACAACACATTCCTCTTGCAATCACAATTAAATAATAGTAAACGAAGATTGATAAGACTCTTCTCGTTTCTTCTTCGTCGTACATAGTAAATTCAACGAAGCGATAGAAATAAAAATTATAATCAATTATGTATATATATATATATATATGCACGACTGTAATACGTTAACACGGTATTAGTCTGTTTCATTTGATAACATGATAAATAGATGAAAAATACAAGAAATATTGATCTGTTCATCTTTTATCCGCCTTCTTTCAGATTAGATACAAACAAACTAATGTCAGTAATGATGAATAATGATGGAGAGAAAAAAAAAAGAAGGGAGTAAATCTATAATGGATACAGTGTTGTAGCATAAACGAAAATGATTTAGAAGAACAAAATAGCAAAGAGTGGAAAGGGTGTTTATCAGTATTGTAAAAGATTGATATCTTCCAAAAGAAATTATACATTTTCAATGGTGAATAAAAAATAGTAAAGGAATATTGAGGTGTAATTTATAAAACCTGCTTGTTTAACATTTATATCACCTTCACAAATTAGACATTTTCATGTAGACTTATTTCTGGATAATCATTCACTGAGAAACTTCTTAACAGTAATAAACCTAATATAAGACCAGCCATCTGAAAAAGAGATAAGTCAGTAAAGAAAATTGAAGATATTTCTATCGACATGACACTTAATAAAAGAGTGATATAAATTAATACATCAGTACATAAGTGGACTATAGGTGAATGTACATAAATTTATTTGACAGCTAGTCTGGAATACTAAACAATCTCTGAATACTCGTTATGTTATACAAGAAGATATTTATCATTTACAAGGTGCAGTCACTGCAATGATACTTGTAGTTTCCCATCGATATACAGATCCGAATTACTCGACCTATCCTGTTGGTAGATGCCCTACTATGCGGATGCCTCGATAGCGCTAGATATTCATGATATCATACTTATCTTGGTGACTAGCAAAGGAATCTAGGACGAGCGTTTTGTACCGTTTGGGACTAGTCAGATGGATGTACCTACACTCTAGTGATAGATGTTGTTCCCACTGAGGCTCGAAACCAGCACCCCTTCGCTTCAAACGCCAATGCGTCATCCATTAGGTCACTGAGGCATGATACCCACCTTTCAAAATAAAAGGAAACGCGTTTCCTGGATTCCTCAGCTAGTTACCGATATCAATAAGTAGAATAATTATTCATAGGTTTTCAAGTGAGTGCCTGACCAGGGATTAACACACCTCTCATGTCAGAATAACTTGCTGAAATCAACCAGTCAACTAAATTGGATGAATGTGGTTTGCATCACATACTAACATCAGCTGCAGAAGTTCTAATGAGATGCTGTGATCCATGGTGTCACCACAGTCGTGTAAGGAGAACTACTCACCGATGACATCCAGTGATAGCAGTGGTACATCAAGGTTTGACGAAAGTTGGAAACAGTGACCAATGAGTTCATATGCAATGACTGAATGGCAACATCCTCGCTGTGATCGTAAGGCAAGATTCCAGGTACATATCTTTGAGAATTCCCAAACAACGACTAAATAGATGACTACCAATCCCAGATCAGTCGAGAGGTACTACGCAAGACAGGCAATTCAGTAGATTGTTGGGGCTGTAAAGCTTAGTCGAATGAGATGGTCTGGATATGTACTCTATGTACCACGCTACCACCTACTTCACAGTGCCATACAAGGGGAAGTTAGATTTGGTTGGAAGAGAGTTAGGGGTGGCCAGAACAAGACCCTGCACTAGACGTTGAAGTCCCTGACTGATGGTCTGAGACGCGTTGGGAGATGTAGACGAGACACAGAAATGAATGGTTGAGGACTCTTGATGACATGGCTGAAAATCGGATACAATAGTGCCGATGTAATCACGCCTTAATATCTTCTAGATCTTAAACATTCACACTAACGTTTATCTCAAGATCGTTTATTCTGCCACACTACTTCATCTACGTTGATATTACTCCTTTTCTATCCACTTATTCTTTGTATGCCACTGTTACGTGTGGCAACTTGAACCAGTGCATCTGTGTGTGAGGTTTTACATTGAGTTTTTCAGTTGTCAGTAAGTCAAAGTTATCACTTTCTTTCTTACAGCTTCAAATAATTCTCCACTAAAGTATACTCATCCATCATTCTTAGTGCCAGACACCGAAAAGAAAACTAAAAGTATCTTTTGTCGATTTCATGGGTTAATCGGGTAGTGAATCTTGTGTTAAATAATCAGATTAAGCTATGAGAAACTCATCATTTACAGAATTTCTTCTTTAAATGCAGTAAGTGGGGATATTTTATTTGAAAGAAGTTTAGCAGAACACCAGACAGTGTTCATTCACAGAATACAAACTGATAGTGTTAAAAATAATAAACGTCGTATTATGGTTGTTGTTTGTGAATAACCTCTTATTCTGTATCTTATAGCATTATTATTAGTATTATTTATCCCCTGGATTCCTAGTGGAACATAGGGCTTCAGTAGTACAACTCCATTGCACTCTCCTCTCTGCAATCTTTTCAACATGGCCGCAAGGCTGCCCAGAAGCTTTCATTTCCTCCTCATACGATCTCCTCTATGTCACCCTCACCTTGGACGCCCAACTTGTCGTCTCCTATTTAGGTTCCACTCAACGACCTGACCTGTACTGGAGCGCGATGTCACCAAATGGTCTTCTCAGTTAATGTCCAATCCATCCCCACTTTCTGCTGCACATTTGTTGGTTGATAAGTTGTTGGTTGGTTCTTTGCCAGCCAGAGTGAGTTCCTTCTTGCTTACTCTTTCTTCAGTATCGAGTGAGCATAGACTTCAGCTGTTGCTGTGATGTAAGTCTGTAGTTTGTTGGGAATGCATTTCGTAACGCACCAAGTCTCTCAACCATCACATAGAAGCACTGACTTTACTGATATTAGTGTTCAAAATCCGGATATTGTTCAAGCTTCATGCTAAGGGTAGTGCAGTAGATCTCCACAGTGATTTCAGGTTGATGAAGGCCTGTCTTGCTGTCTTTGCAATCCCAGCTTTGACAACCCCACCTGTACCGCCACCTGTAGTTGAAAGGATGATGTATAGGTAGGTAGGTGAAAGATACTACTTTCGTTAGATTTCTCCCGTTGATAGTACTTGCTGTGGTTGTTGTTGGTCGACTGTCTTCATCACCTCTGTCTTCTCTACGTTCACCTGAATGATGACCCGTCTTCCTTCCCTGCCTCTTCTCATTTACAAACTTATAAGTTTTTGCCTGTAGATTTTCGAGATTATGCAACAAGACATTAGACATAAATCATCGGCGACGAAATCCAAATCTTCTAGCGTCTTTTCATCGGTCAAACAGCGTATGCCCATCTTCTTGCTCCTCACGGTTTGTTGCATGATCCAGTCTAGTCGAGTCGACCACAATCAGTAAGATTATTGATTGTAGTAGGTGGCAACCTTGTCTCACTCCTGTCCAAACTTCGAAGGCTTCACTGAGCTTTCCATTGTGAATCACTTGGCAGGTAACATCATCAGCATCATATAGCATTTGAAAGAGGTTGATAAAAATTTGTGGCGCTAATAGCTTAATGTTGAAGCAGCTGCCTGTCAAATTACTTCACGGTCGACGCAATCGAAGGCCTCTACAAAGTCAATGAAGTTGAGATAGAGAGTTGACTGCCGTTCTATGCTCTGTTCTATGTTCTGTATCTTAGTCAACGCTATTCTTGCATTTACATTTCTATTCAACATTGTATATTCTTTTTGCCTTAATCCTCATCTGTTGATCCTTATAACGTTTGACGCTGGCATACTACTAATACACATTCATATGATCATCTCTCACCAAACTATGACATGATTGCTCATAAAATCACATCCTTTGAAACCAAAATCCTTGGTCAGATCTTTGGAACGAAAGAGGGTATTAGGGTAAAAAGACTAAAACTTCTTTGTATTCTGAGATGTTCACTGTTACACTATACATCATATGAAGTTAGGGTTTATCAACAAATAATTCTTTATGCATTTGATAAATGAACCTCTGTTTAGTAAAAGTCGAACTAAAGATTTTATTTATGGTTATTTCCGTGCACACTTCTTTTATCATTCATTTCAGCAGGGAGGCAGAAGTTGCATTCACTGCAATTTCACTCGAAATCAAAGTTTTCACTTCTTATATCACTTCTATAGCAAAAACGAATGATTGAGTGATTTTCTTCAAACTTCTTTTGAAGAGGTAAGAAGCTGGTTTATCTTGATTTCAGTTGTGAAATTGCAGACTCCGAAGGTCATTATATGTGCTTCCCACCCCAGCTTATTGAGATTATTTTCACTCTTTATTATGGCTGGAACATGTTTCGGTAAATGTCTTACAGAATGTAGAATGATTGCCTATTAGGGAATAATACTATACACCAATTAGTCACCTGAGGATTACTAATATAACTTTATAGTCCGTAGGAATTTAAACTCCTTCTACTCCATAGTCCTTGATGAACGTGCATCTGACCTATAGGCACCAGCTTATAGTCAGTGCTGACAAGCTGGAAGCAAGTAAACAAACAATACATGCTTTATGCATAAGGTATCGCCCCTCCACGACAAAAGAGTCAACTAACCAGATCATTACGACTTTCATTATTTACTAAAAAAGAACAGCCATTTATGCACAAGGAAGCGACCTCAACTTACTGCAGGCAAAGAAATAAATTCAACCAATGAAGCAGTCTCACGTGCCTCCAAAAAAGCAGCAGGTAAAGCGCCAACTGACTGAGCCCCCTATATGCCAATACACTCATCAAATGACCAGACAGATTGAGCTGAGGCGTAGTACCATGTTGTACATACGCCCTAGCATTTAATCTTTTCGCATACTTTTGAAGCTTTCTGCACTGATGATGATGTCTACTATGAAAATGAAATGTTTCCCAACCAAAATCTCAACAGAGAAAATAATTGTTAATAAATATCTGCCTATGATCTGCAGATATTCTTCTTCATTTTCAAAGGAATACATGCTTGAGTCAATGCACAATGGCTGAATACGAGGCAAAGTAAACAGTTTGTAGGAACCGCCCAAAATATGCCCACGCGCCTTTATGCAAATGAAGAGTTATTTGTTTGTAGATTGCTTACAAGAAAAATATAACAGCTCCACGGGTATAAGTTATCTTTACTGAAGATTATATTAGCCTTTTAAAGACAATACAAACCCGTGCAATTCACGACTACCACTCGTCACATGACTTCAGCTTTCAACTTGCAAGTAAGGAAAACAATATAAATTTCCCTTCAAACATAAAGAGTGAACATTTATATTCGTCAATGAATTATTACTAAGTTCATTATAGCGATCAGAAAAAAGTGAATGAACGTCTGTTTGTGTGTCTGTCTGCTTGTCTAGAGTATTCACGAATGATAACTTAGTGTGCAGCACAGGTCTCAGTCTACTAGTGTTTTTTCTAAATGGAATGAATTTGGTAAAATGTCTGTTTTCGGATCACTAGATTATGTGGATTTTTCACTGCAAATTACTTTTTCACAATCTTGAACAAGGTTCATGATCTCAGATATTTTGTATGGATTTCATAAACGTTTTATTTCTTAGCACAATAACTCTTTTCAAGTTTG